CTCCACAATTTGTCGTTTGCTCCTTTCTTTCTCTTGGAAAATTCTGGCATTTCTTTCTTCCCACAAGGTCCACACCACTGCTGCTCTAGTGTACCTCCACATTACTCTTCCCCTCTTCTTCGGTAACACAAAGGTAGATGGGTCAAACAACATTTTTATCTCCGTTGGCATATTCCACCTGCACCCAAACAAAGAGAAAAACCAATCCCATAAATCTGTTCATTTGCTATAGATGGCTATATTGATTAGTTAGTATGTCATACTCATTACAAAGTAGATTACCATGCCCTACTATTTGCACCACATGTATCTATTGGTATGCTTTCCTAGAGGTTTCTTTGTGGTTTGTATGCATCCAAAATTAGATTCTTAAAAATTTTTCTCTCATCTTTTTATTATCTTTGGACATTTTACTGATTTCCTGTTATGTAATCAGATCATAAATTGTCTATTTACCTATATACTGTTGTTATCTGGCACTTAGGAGAAAGTCATGGACCCTTCAAAATCATCATCTCATTTAGCAGCACGACAAAATGTTACGCCATATGCCGTACCAATGATCCCTGTGGACAATGATGATGGTATCTCTTATAAAGGTTGGTGCATAATCCTTAGTCAAGCACTCAGGGTGCTATTGGGTCAAAGCATGTGGGGAGTTACTGATGTTACAGTGCATATATAGATGATATTTTTATTGTCTTCCATGGTCCCTCTTAATTGTGAGGGCAAAATATAACTCAAATACTATTATTCGGTTCATTCAAATCCCTCACATTAAGTCCAACATTTAAGGTATTAACTTGCATTCTCCCTCTTGGATCCTATATTCAAGGCACTTTTGTTTCTAATCACTAAATTCCACTGATTAAAATACTACATAATAATTTGAATAGTACAAAAATTTGTCTTTAAAATGAACCTAGAAACAAAGCCATTTTTCCATTTGTGGTGTAAGAAGTTTAATCATTTTGGGTCAAATGGGCCAACCCATGATGCTGAAATTAAACAGTAAAAAATCAAATATAGATAAAATACAAAAAACAGAGAAAATCATGAAATTTTTTAGAAAATTCTGGGCATATCTTTAATCCTATATATTTGTCGTATTAAACAAAAATAAGTATGATAAATAAGAAATATTTTTATTAATGATGGAAATGGAATATACATTTTAAAACCAACCAAAAGTGAAACCATTTTCATACTCATTAAGTATTGTATCTAAGGTATTAACTCTCTTTCTCTCATTAAATCATATATTTAAGGCAGATTTATTTCTCATCATTAAATCTACTAATTAAATCCACAACATTAATTTTAATAGTATAAAAGTCAATATTTTGATAAGTAACATAAAAACAAAACCATTTTCTTCCCTCCAAGTTGTGGGTAGGCAATTCAACTATTTGGGTCAAATGGATTCTCCAATGTCAATGATGCCATGATTAGATAATAAAAATTTAAAAGCAGTATAATATAAAAATATAGAAAACAGAAAAAAGAATTAGGCATATTTCTAATATTATATATTCATCATACTGAATGAAAATAAGTATGATATGTAAGAGTGTTTTTATTAATAATGGAAATGGAATACCAAATCTAAAATCAACATAGAAATAAAATGATGTCAGTCAAATAATAAAATTTTTAAAAATAGAAAATACAAAGAATCACAAAAATACATAAAAATTTGGGCACATGTTTAATGTTATATATTTATAGAAAATAAAAAATTGGGTACATTTTTGATATTATATATTAAATACGATAAGTATTATACATAAGAAGAGTTCTTATAAATGATGGAAATGGAATAAAAAATTTTAAATGTACCACAAAATTTAAGCATTTTCCTCTTTGGGTGGTGGGTTAGTTGTTTGGGTCATTGATAAACCCATGATGTTGTAGTTAAATAGTGAAACTTTTAAAAATAGAAAAGTACAGAGAATAAAAAAATATAAAATTTATAGAAAAGTTTGGGCATATCTCTGATATTACATATTTCTATATCAAACAAAAAATTGTGTGATAAGAATTTGGGCATATCTCTAACATTTTTGATATTACATAGTACTGATCCGAAAACAAAGCTGCTTTCTTAATTCTTATCTAGATGGTGGGTCAAATGATCTAACTTTTTGAGTCAAATTGTTCAGCTCATGTTGCCATAGTTAAATAATAAATATTTAGAAAAGATAGAATACAAAAAATGAAAAAAGTAGAGAATTTTGTGGAAAACATGTGGGTCATGGTAGTTAGTTAGCAATTCAATCATCTAGGTCAAATGGGTCATGGTTGAAAAAAAAATCTAATATCATCCCAAAATCAAAATGATTTTTTCATCTAGGTAGTCGCCTAATCGGTTAGCAGTTCAATCATCTAGGTCAAATGGTCATAGTACTCAAAGTATTGTTTAGCTTTGAATATCCAGGCCAGAGGATCCTCACCTGAAAATGAAGGGAAATCCAACTTGGCAAATTGGAAGGGTGATCCATTGTGTGCCTGTGTCAAGCACTGCTGCTGCTCGAACCCTTCTAATCTTCTTCCTGAGCTCCATTAGACATCATCTTGCACTGCGACATCACCATCAAACAGAGCTTCCTTGATTTATTTAGATCTCCCTCAAACTTGTGAAGTCCCACCTCCAGTTGATTAACTCTGATCTCCATCAATGCTGCTCTTGTTGTTGCCTATCTCAGGGTTTCTTCGAGGGAAACCACCTACTTCAGAGCAAGAGAGAGAGAGAGAGAGGTTTTAATTCTTCCTTGATTTATTACAACTCACCTGGCCGGCTGGCCCTTATTTACCCAAGTACCCAACAGATCTAGAATTGTGTTGTAACTGTCTTAGTTGTTCCCCCGCCAATCAGAGACACTCCTGCTTGTGGCTCACGAGGTCTCTACTTGTATGTTTGTTTGATAGATGGTAGATCGCATGTGAGAGGTTGATGGCCAATTGTTTCTGGGCTGAGTATCTGGGCTGTAGCTTCATTGGCTGTCCTGTATTCCTATCAACATGCTTTATAGAAGGAAATAATAACATGGATAAAGTTACTATGACAAGGATGATAAAAAAAGTTATTATGATAAGCATGAAAAAATCTAACTCCATCAATGAATTTGACCTAATTGATCCTCTTCTTTAAGCCGCTTTTACTTGCCATTACAATTTCTTTGTCTGTTATTCTCTGCTTTGCCAATGGAGTCAAAGATAATTATTATGGGACAGGAAAGATGAAGATGTGCTTGTGCTTTGTCATCCCCTTCCAACTTTGACAAGGCTGTAAATGACTTGAATATCACCAAGAACCTAGCCTTTTTCCATTTCTCTTTGTTAACCTTTTTAACGAATCACTTCCCTTATTCTTCACCCTTAAACCTTTCTCCCTACCATCTCCCTTCCCCTTTGGCAATCTTTCCCAAGTCTTTTCCTCTATTTGGACCTTTCTTCACTCCCTATCTCCTTTTCCTTTAGTATTTTTTGTTTCTTTTCCCCTTGTGCTTTCTAGCTTTTTCTGTTGTTTTTGATCTTTTTTTTCCTTGCTTTCTTGTTTCTGCTTTGCTTGTTGTTCTGTGCCTTATGTTTCTAGCTTTCTTGGTGGCATCTTTCTTGTAAATAAAACTGAAAAGATTTAGGTTTGGTTGTTTACTACTTGGGAGATTCAGGACTCTCATGTGGTGATTTGATATGAGCAACTCCAGAGACAATGAGTTTCTCAGATATTTCTTGTCTTTGGATTTTAATAAGGTTCAGGGTAACAAAACTGGAACATAGACCCTTGGCTCTGTATTGATAAATTATATCATATTTATGAATCTATGGGTAATCCAATGTGGTCTGTATTAATAAGATGGGATGCTGTCCACTGTGGCCTCCAAACATACTATGGATCTATGGGTTATCCATGAAACACACATTAAAGTATAGATTAGATGGTAAAAATCATCTAATGGGGCCAATTCTTGGCTGTGGACACCTTGATAGTATTGTCACATGCATGGAAATTATTTTTATTGGGCATAGCTGAGTCTACAATTCTCAAACAATATGTGATCTTTTGGTCTGTAGTATCTGTATTGATAAAGCAAATCATATTTATTGCTTGCAGACATTGGTGGCATAACGGGTGAGCTACTTGAGCAAAATGCACAGGTCTTCAACCAAATTTCTGCAAATCTTGCAAATTATCAGGTGATGCCACTGTTCCTATCAGTTTATTTCCGTTGAGGAATGATAGAATATGTTCTTACATAATGGGACAACTGTCTAGGAAGACCTTAGTTTTTCTATTCTTCCTTTGGTACTTTCTTTTATTATAAATGGAACCTTAGGATAAAATCCCATGGTTAGCTACCTTAAGATATGGCACATGATGTCCAATTGGTTGAGTGGTATAGCATTTTATACAAGACTTATTATTATTTCTATAATTTTAGTGGTATCATTTTATTTCTAGTTACCTTGATTCATTTTTTTTTTCTATTTATTTTCCTTATTCTTACTGTTCCAATTGTAGAAAAAACAAATTTTATCTATTAAAAATTGTCATTATAAGGCATGCCAGTGTCTAAGCAGTTGGAAATGAAAATGCATGTTCACACTGGACAAAGGAAGGAGAAAAAAATAAAAAAAGGAATAATTGCTCAAGGAATTGCAACGTGTATGGCTAGCATTGCTTAAAATAAAAAATGGCAATACCAATATTTTGTGATTCATAAAATATGAGAGTTATCAGAAAGATATTATATAGATAAATAGTTCAATGAGGGTATTGCACTTTATAAAAATGAGAGAAGTATAATTAATTGAGCATGTAACTAGAGTGAACCCATTATTTGAACCAGATAATTTCCTAGGTATGAAATTTATCAATGTTGATTCAAGTTTGTTTTTTCTTTATTTTCCATCAATATCAAATAATGGGTTGGATGATTAGGTGAAAGTGGTCCATCCAAGGTCTTTCAGTGGCTAGTAGAATGTGATGGTATACATCTAGCAGTTTGCAGGGAAGAAAATCCCTATCATTACAAGACAGTGCCTCCCCATCCAGTAATAAATTTGAGATAATTGACAGAGAAATTTTTGAAAACTAAAAATGATTTAGTAGAGGGACATGCCAATTCAATTCATTTATATGTTGAGAGATATTTTCTATAATTGTTTAGTTAATGAAGTGCAATATGAAAAGAGTATACTTAGAATAAACTGATCTAGATGAAAATTATATGAATAGTATATACACTCAAAAGGAAAGGTAAATGTAAATCATCTGCTGTTAAAGTAGAATGCGTCTCATATGAATATATGTAGAGAATAATAGGGCCAGATTTCAGGAAATGCTGTGTTTCTTGTTATTCGATAATGTCAAGATACACTTAAACTACACCTTGATCTTACACTAGGCCAGGTAGCAGGGTGAAAATGTCTCCACATTCTTAATTAGATATTATTTTAGGGAAACTTACTAATTTACTATATTCTCTTGGTTATATTTTCATATCTTGATAAAGATTGAGAGGTGAAATCCTTCCATGACTAGGGCTGTATAGATGAGGAGCTCCAAGGTGTTGAAATTGTGGGGATATAGTTGATGAGAATCAAGTAGCAGAGTAGGTAGAGTAGCTCCATCTGGCTTGGACAAGATCAACTGCCAGAAGAAAGGGCTCAAGTTGGAGACCTCTTGCCCCATAGGGAAGATAGCAGAGGAAATCCATTATTTTTTATGTTTCTAGGGTGATCTGAAAGTTTGTGAGATCTATTTCAGCACAATGTAGGGGAAATTTTGCATATAATAGAACATGGACAATAGAACACCATGGATTCAAGATCTACAGAACTCACGAAAACTGGAAGATGGAGAAGATTGGTGAAGGTGGAAACCAAGACTGTTGTTCGAGAGCTACAGAACTCAAGGTAAGCTCACCTAGAAGGTAAGGGAGATTAATGTGTCGATGGTGCTGTTAGTGGGAAAAAGAAGTAATGGAATGGTTTCAGGGGTTTGTGGTACAAGCCTTATCTCAGAGAAGAGATACCTGTAAGAATATGAAGATTTAGGTAAATAGAGAGTTTAAGGCTGAAAGAAAATCAAATGCTAAAGGAAGATTCACAACCCTACATGAAATTTTCATTTATCAAAAGAAAAACACTATATGAATTTTTCGGTAAAGGGAAAAAACAATTGATATGCTTACCTGAAGGAAGGAGAAGTGAAGGATGGAAGGAGATTTTAACAGTTCTCATAGAGTTCTTGGAGCAGAGTGAGCAGCAAGAAGCCCAGGTTTCTAACAAGGAAAGGGAGACCACTCTAGCAGTGAACAAACATGGAGAACCAGAACAGTTCATGGAGGAGAAGATGTATCAAAAAGATGCCTCAATGGTAATTAGAGAGGGTACTCAGTGGAGTAGGATGATTGCTAGCGGAGGTATGGAGGAGTGGAAAAAGAAACCGGTAATTCAAACTAAGCTGCAGCCAGTGGATTGGATGTTCATAGCAGTAGTGTTGGAGTTAAAAATAAAAAGCTCCATTATTATTACCCCATTTGAAAAATGTAAGGCTCTAGTCGATTTACTGGATAATTGAGAAAAAGATAGATGCAACAAACATCAATTCCTCTTTGGGTTCTGTAACAGTGTCAAGATGGTGCCCTCTGTCTAATGCCAGAGAAGCTTGTGTTGAAATTAATATCATCCTTAGAATAATTGGGTTGCCCTTTCATCTGTGGAAAGGAGAAGTTTTTGAATCCTTGGCATCCATTTGCAGTGCTCAGTTGGTTGGTGTTTTTGCATGTGGTCTTCATTCAGCAGCCTTAAAGTTCAACTGTGTGAAACCAGAAGAGATACCCAGAAAGGTGGAGTTTGTGACAGATGGTTCATCCTACTTGGTGTGGATGACATCCTCCATGGAAGTCTTTTTGTGGAAGGAAGGTAGGAGGGAAGAAGATGAACAGGTGGAGAGGGAGTGTTTACATGGCAATTCCTTGTTTGTTGAAAGCATTAGGGAATGGAAGGTTCACCAAATTGGAACAGCAGAGGTGGAGTGTGGAGAAAGGCAGCTGTTCATATGCATAGGTGTTAATTAATAGTTTTAAAGAAGACACATGTGAAAAAAAAGAGAATTTAAATTCAGGCCAGCGATTAAGTCAAGGAATTGCTGGGGTGAACCATAAGGGAGAGTCGAACTGGGTGGGCCTAATGGCTCGGGCCCATCCGCGTGACTTTTTAAGTAGTCACGTGAAGGAGGCTGGGCTTAAAGGAGTAGTTGGGCCGAGTTTGTCAAAAGAGATTCATGAAGAATAGGTGTTGGAACTTGGAAGGTGGGCCGGTATTAAGCCCCATAAAAGAGAGGGTGCATGTGTTATGGACGCATTCGTRGGGAAGAAGTACTGCCGCCGGCAGCAGCAGTAACGTGGGACCCTCATCAGATTATCTAGCTAGC